TACAGACAACATTTAGGCTGGCAAATAGCCTATTTTGAGCAAATGTGCCACTTTCAGTAGTAAAATATTGCAATTTGTCCACATGAACACATTTACATTTGAATATTTGGGTGATTTGTACAAAATAAACACAACAGGTCTTTGTGGAAAGGCTGCCTCATTAAAAATTAACAAATGATAAAAAATCAGACACCACAGAGGCCCTCCTTCATCTTGAAGTCCACCATTTTTCTCCAACACCGCCTATCTTGCCGTGGAGCCTGAGGGTGGGGCTGTAATGAAGATGAATGCCTCAGCTTAGCAGCGCGGCACACCTGGCACAGAGGCGGGCGGGGTGGTGGTGGCTTTCTACAGGCGTTTCAGACAGGATGGAGGAACAACGGCCTCCGGGGGCCAATTCGTCAGAAACACACATGTTTACTGTACACTCCAACGCTCACGTCTCTCCACCTGCACCTCTCTCTCCACAGGCAGAGATCCAGGAGTTTTAACGCTTTTTAAATAATGCATTTCTGAGCTGCGATTGGACAGTGCACGTTTTAAAAGGTGCTAAAAACTAAGAGTTTTCAAAAGTTTTTATTCACAAAATAGTGAAAAATGATCAGAATGAATAGATATTTTAATGTTAGTTGATGGTGAAAATCTGACCAATCAATCCACCTGCCTGGTTGAACGGTAATAAAAACATCTTGGCTCACAAACATTTTTGTTAGAGAAAAACTCTAACCAAATTTAGATGTCCAGTTCAGTCGGCATGAAGCACAGCATCAAAGTTGGGCAGGGAATCCGAAAGCCTGCATCACCATAAAACAATGTCTGCACAACTGGTTCAACCATCTGCATGCTCCAGTCGCTGCCCAATTACCAGTAAAGCCTAATGTAAGAAGAGCCTGAGGAGAGATGAATACCAGTCACCCTGGCACTATGAATAAATAGAGCCAAGCTGCAAACTGGAGCCTAATTACCATCTGAAATGTTTAACTTGACATGACTCTGCGAGCTCAAACAAGTTTGCAGCTTGCTTATCTCTGTCTCCGTCCAGCTGCTTCCACTCTGTGATTGTTTTTATTTCTGATTTGAAACTTTGAAGCTAGCTCTAATCAGATGTACTTACTATTTAAGACTCAGGCCCTGTCCACACGTAGCCGAGGATCTGCCAAAACGTAGATATTTTTCTACGTTTTGGCCTGTCATCCACACGAAAACGGATCTTTTTAAAAACTCCGGCCAAAGTGAAGATCTGCGTTTTCTCCGTTTTGGGTGTCTGCGTGTGGACGGACAAAACCGGAGTTTTAAGGTCCGCAACGTCACTTTCTGCGACAAAAAATGCTGACATCACGTGCGCGACCTGTGTTTACACTAGCCGACAGCATGGATGACCTCACTACCCGATCCATCAATTGTCCAAGCGCTATTTGCTTGTTTGTTTTTGCAAGCGGAATTACTGCTCCTTGCGGAAGACCACAGACGAAGGACGAGGTTAAGAACGGGGGAAGTACTGCCGCCTACAGGTCTGGCATGTCCTTAACAACGTATTTATCCGGGTACGTGTGGACAGAGTTTGTTTTTAAAATGCGGCGGTGTGGATGCAAGTTTTTGGAGGGGCGGATATTCGTTTTTAAAAAACCCCGGCTACGTGTGGACTAAGTCTCAATCTTTGCACAAGAAGTCGTTTGAATTGAAATGAATTTGACCTTAGTACGTACATGCAGCGTGCTCTTTGTTGCAGCCTTCTGCAGGGACAGACTGGGACTAAAAAAGCAGCCCTGGACTTTGACTAGGCCCGACCCAAAGTAATCGGCGTGCGGAAATTTGGCAGCAAAAATATGTGGTCAAACCATCAAAATTATAGCAACAGCGCTAATGTGGACTATATGTTGTATTAAAAGCTGCATTACTGATAAGCTTAATAATTGATGCAGTAATTCACCTTCTTGGTGCACAAATAATACCACATGTAAATGAAAATGCAACATTACAAATGTAACTTCGGTATTTAAGATTTTCAAAGTTTGTGAGCATTAACTGTAACACTACTACCAACCTTTTTACGCAAAACCACAACATATTTCTTATTACCCACTGCATGTGGTCTTTTACAGCTAAAATGTTGAAATTTAGCTGTTATCATAAAATGAAGTTGCAACCTAAACATGAATTTCTAACATCAATCCTTGCAAATGTTTCTCCTCTTACATTCCATGCTTACTTCCCCTGGATCTGCCTGTGGAACCAGCGCATCTTCCTGTCCCTCACTACTGCTGACGTGTTGCTGTGTAGCTATCTGCCTGACTTCTTCACTGCTGTGAACGTGCTGCGAGGTGCTGCTGCTGGCTGTGCTGCTAAATATGTCGGTAAATTTGTGACATTTAGAGGCTTCAGCATCTAATGCCCGCATTTTTTTTCTCTTGCCTTCTCAGCCACACCCTTTTCTTTCCTTTTTTTTTACTAGCGGCCGGGTTTTTTTCTTTCTACTGCCCTTGCCTCCTCTCCGCTTCAGCTTCTTCTTCTCCTTGCCTGGTGGCCAAGCCAGTGTAGCTGGCATCCAACTTAGAGGTGCAGTGCTGCCACCTAGAGTGCTGGAGCGTGAAAGAGCTTTGAGGGGGGGGGGGGGGGGGGGAACAGGAGTTGAAAGCGTGCGTGGAGGGTGGTGGGCCGGCCGGCCCACCGGCCATTCTGTGATTCTCCAGAATCCACAGATGGCCGGTCCGCCCCTGGCCACTTGTCTCCTCCAGACTAAGGATCATTCATCAATCACAAATGAAAAGTCTGGGTTTGTTTCCCATCATTTGTTAGAGTTATGGTAGAAAAAGTTACACACACGCCAGACACACACTCACACAACTGAAAGTGTGAAGTGTGTTGATGTCATCTCAACTCTGTCCTGTTTTGTTTGCTAATTAAATAATGACTTGGCATGGATAAAGCCTGGTCACTGTCACGATTACTTTCCAGCTGTGATTAATCCTGTGTGAACCACTGTAATAACAGCATCATTTCCTATCAGCAAGCAGCGACTCTGCACACACACACACACACACACACACACACACACACACACACACACACACACACACACACACACACACACACACACATACACACACGTACGCTCACACACACACATGCACGTACGCTCACACACATTTGGATATCATCAGGTGAAACCACAGTCTTCTGTTGTTGACTCCTGAGTAACTTCTCAGGTAAAGCAGAGGTGCAAACATCCGTCATGAGCCTGGAACTAATAAATAAAGCTGTTGTTTAGCAGGTGTGATACTGAAATGTAGTGTTTTGCTGCTCCTTCTGTGTATAAAATATTTTTTTCTGATACAATACAAAAAAAAACAGAATTTATTAGGATTTTGTAAGTTGTCTGCTGTTCACCCACACACACAGATCACAGCTCGTCTTCATATTTAGCCCACTAACAGCTTTGCACCGTCTGAACTTGTATTCATGTCATTTCCTGCTGTTCCAAACATTACATCATTCTGGCACCCGACGCAACCACAGACCTCTGCTTTAGCTGGATGTTGTTTCTCAGCATAAACAGTTATATTCTCTTTCTTCAGCTTGTTTCTACCTGTGTAGGATGCGGTTTGGTGCTGAGCTATGAGTATAAGACTGTTTTAATGGTTTGTTTGCTGATTGCAGTTTAGATGTGACTGGACCTCACAGCAAAACAATGAGCTGAAACTTAAATGAAGCTTTGTTAGAGGTGGCAAATGTCTGCACAATCTACCCGTCGGTGATCATTTTTAGCACATTTATCAAGTTTTGAGCAGCCAAAGCTCTGCTGCTTCTCACAGAAGACTGAAATCAGAATTTGCGGCCTTCCAGGACCCAAGTGGAGAAAATCTGAAACTCTCTGCTCCTCCACAAGGTTACGACTCCTCCTTTTCAGTTGGTGCCCCAAACCACCACCAGGTCCCTGACAGGAAGCACGCCTCCTTAGTCTGACAGGGCAGACGCTGAAGGTCATCTAGAGATCTGGGGGTGAGGGTTGTTTGGCATCTCCGAAAATGCAGACAGGTCAAAGGACACGTGACAGGTGGCACTACTGTCATCTGGGCCGACATGCAGGTCAGGCCCACCGACAGACACGGCTACACCTCAACCTTGTCTCCAGTCGCACCATTCAAACTGCAAGTCTGCTGTCACACATTTAAAGGTGCAGATAACCTGCAGCTTCACTTAATTAGGGTCAAACGTTGTTCTCAGCCAATACTTCAAAGTGATAAACAATAAAAGGTTTACAGTTTTACAGATTAGATGTTTGTTATTATTGTTTCACTTTTAACTTGTGAAGACATTTATTTGTGCGATCGAGCAAGTTGTTCTAATGTTACTGACTTAACTGGAGAGTTTTGGGCCCTTTAAAGTTTCTTTTCATAATTTTCTGCATTCTAACTTTGTAAATGATGAGAATAATATAGGATAAATTACCCCTGTCATTACCTGCATGTGTCATGGATCAACCAAAACAGGATGCTATGGTCAGATTTCATCGTTTGAATACATTTTAGAACAACAAAATGCATTTCTTTCCCAGAGTAAGGTGAACTGAGGTTTGCTCAGACTAACAATAGGTAGATTAAGTTTGTGGTAAAATCATGAAAAGGTCAGATGTTCCAGTAATTTATAGAAAAACCATCAAATTACTGTTTTGAACCACAAAGACAGTTTGTAGATTCAAGACTTTTCTTTTTACCTATAATCCCTAGACCCATATAATTCATCTCAATGGGATTATTCATTTGTTGGATTGTTTCATTAAAGGCATTGGTGCAGTTAATAACCACTTAAAGGGACTTCAGAACAAAAGCTTGGGAGATAATTTCGAACTTACTTTTGAAAAGTATCAGCAGACATCTCAACATCCAGACTATTAAAGGAGTTTTTTCATAATTGACCAGTTTCATTCAGCCAGTTGAGTGAAGTTCTGAACTACCAGTTGTGTGAAACTGCAGTTGGAAAGTTTGAGACGGTCCTCTTACCTTCCAAGCAGCACGTCCTCCACAGCCCCGAGTGGGTCATCACCTCCTCGTTCTTCTTGCTGGTCTCGTTCTCGTTCATGGACTTGGTTTTGCAGACGCCACGGGAGTACAGCCAGTAGTCCGTACCGACCGCGATGGTCATGAGGCTGAAGGCCGCGAAGGCGCCCACCGTGGTCAGCAGCATCTGGACTCCGCGGTCGAACAGACCCATGTTTCCGCATTCCATGAAAGGGGGACCCCCTTTCCTCTTGATGTATAGGAAGTAAATATTTGAAAATTTGCGGGACCAAACCAAACTGAAAAACCGGGATATACTCGTGCTGAAGGAGAGGGAGGAAGGAGAAGGAGGTTGCGGTAGGAACCTTATGGTTGCGTTTGGGTGAGGACCACAACAAGAGAAAAAATTGGGGATTTGTTTAGATGGAGGAGAGAACAAAGCTGAGATGTGTCTCCTCTTTATAGATTTCACTTTTGCACACACACAAAAAAAGAGGAAAACAGTGATGCAGGGGATTTCTGGCAGGCCTTTGGCTGCAGATGTAGCCAACACTTGCAGCAAAAAGGCTACAAATGTGGATAATAGCACAGAGCTATCAAAGATGAAGTAACTCCTGGCATAAAAAAATGCGGTCTAGACTCTGCAGGTCTTCGGAAATACAACCTGCTTGTTAAAGGATCGAGCTGTACACAGAAGTGGGTTTACATGAGCCCAGATGGAGCAGAGGGATGACTGAAGGGTGGTGGAGTAATGGCAGGTTAACAGTACAACAGTTCAATATTACTTTAATCAGACACTATATAGCTGCGGTTACTATCCAAAGCTAATCTAAAGATGAATATATTAGGTAATTATTACTCTAGAGGGGTCTGTTAGTTAGGAATTTGATTGAAATAAACTGGGGAGACAAACAACGATTAAATCTATCATCCTATTAGAAAAGTGTTTGCCGGTTTGAGTTCTGTAAGGAGGATTTTGCAACAGCCCTGAATATGAGGTGAAAGCAAAAATCTTAATGCTGGATTTCACAAATCAACCCAGTGCAACGAGGAAATCAAGGCTGAATCATCAAATAAATTATCTAGATGTAAAATCTCTCCAAAGCAACATGCAGACCGCTCAAAATAACAACTATATAAATAAACAAATCAAAAAAATTGACCGCTTAGATTTTCCCTTTTCCTAAAATTTTGATCCCCAGTTTCCATATGGAGCTCTATACTTCTGGGCAGGTTTCCGCCGAAAATGGGGGTCTGCAGTGAGAGGAGGCTCTGTCATCGACGATCCGGAGAGAGCGGAGAGCATCAAGCAAGGCAAAGCGACCATCACTCGACATGAAGCCGGCAGGAGGAGGACGAAGAGTCGGTGTGGGCGCCGCCGCAGCAGAGGATGGAGGAGGAGGATGGTGCTAATGCTGCCGCTGCTGCCGCTGCTGCCGCTGCTGCCGCTGCTGCCGCTGCTGCTTGAATATCCAAATTCACCGTGGCAGTTTGACACCAGGACAGTCCCGCTGGTGTAGTAGCCCTTGCGCCATGTAATAAGGAGAAAATGAGATCGGATGAACGTTGCAATGCCCCTGATTTCCCCTCCTCCTCCTCTTCCTCTGCTCCCTTTTCTCTCCTTGCGCTCGCGGATGCAGGTTTGGCCGCTTTGCAGGAAGAAAAAAAATCCTGTATTACACAATCAGGAGAGCGAGGCGCACGGATTCACAGACAGCGCTGGTGTTGTCACGATGTCAGCGGCGCTGCAACGTTCATGCATCCCTTCAGTGTTTCTCCCTCTTTTAAGCATCATAGAAGAGGCTTTTCTATTCTGCGCTTCTTTGGAGACGCGTTAAAGGCCCGCTGTGGTCTCTCTGAGAGGTTCGGTGGAAAGATAAAAAAAAATCCGAAAATGTGAGTTTTACAATCAACGGAATGAGGTGATCATAACATGTCACCAGTCTATCTCTAAATGGTAGATTACTGAACTGTTCCTGTGCGCACACGCTGGGAATTACGCATTTATGGTTCACCATTGAGCTATCCAATTGTTGCAGCGAGTCCTCTTTTACTCCTCCATCAAGGCAAACCAACTTCATCCTTTAATGACTCTTCTCCTCCAGAGTTGCTGTAGTTTTAGGTTACAATTCAAAGGTTTAGATCCTCGTTTCATTGTCGCTGGACAGAAACTGTCAGCGTGGAAGACTGATTTTAAAACCAAGCTGTTTTTAAATCATGGTTAGCAATTGACTCTTTAATCAAATAATAATAATAATAATAATAATAATAATAATAATAATAATAATAATAATAATAATAATAATAATAAAACATAACAATAATAATAATTTATTAAACAACTACCACAGATTTGAGTGTGAGGTTGTGGTGCTGAAGGGACAGCTCCCTGGAGCTTGGCCTCTGTGGAGTTTGACGCCCTCTGCTTTCCAAAAGTATTCATTGCCACTTCTAAAAAGTGCCAAACTGAACTCTGGTCGTAAATATAAAAGGAACAATTACTACAATTGTAGTGTCAAACTTCTGTAATTTAAAAATAATATTGAAGTGTTTTCTACTTTAGGTAATAAAATAAAAATCGTGAAAAATGACCCAGTGTGACAGCTGGAACAATATGTTCCATTTCATTTCCTGGAGCAACTTCTGCACCATTTACAGCTATGTCAGATAAATGTGTGGGACTGACTCCATTGAGAGCTCTTGTGCAGCATGGGCATGCTGCATGTGCTAGAGCCACCATCACCATGTTGTTTGACCATCAACACATAGTAAAACGGGACTGGACTGGTGACCAGCTTGAGGAGGAGCCAAGCTGGTGTGATTCTGTAAGGATCTCCACATGTTGCAGAAGACCCAGACAGCAGGAACTGAGTAGTGTAAAATGATTAATATGCATTGTTTTTTTCCTCATTGAGAACTGCAATCCATCAAGGAACTCAACATAAAAATGAAAGTTAACAGGCTGCAAGGGTTTTTAACACATTTTCAGGGGAGCGTTACCCAGTCGTTTAGTCGTGTTGCTCATTTCTTACAGAACCCTCATACCTTAAGGTAAAATTTGAACATTTGTTTTAAAAAGTTTGACCATTTAAAAAAAAATAAAACTACAAACCCATACGTGTCTCATCAGTTTGAAATACACTCACCTAAAGGATTATTAGGAACACCATACTAATACAGTGTTTGACCCCCTTTCGCCTTCAGAACTGCCTTAATTCTACATGGCATTGATTCAACAAGGTGCTGGAAGCATTATTTAGAAGTGTTGGCTCATATTGATAGGATAGCATCTTGCAGTTGATGGAGATTTGTGGGATTCACATCCAGGGCACGAAGCTCCCGTTCCACCTCATCCCAAAGATGCTCTATCGGGCTGAGATCTGGTGAATGCGGGGGCCGTTGTAGTATAGTGAACTCATTGTCATGTTCAAGAAACCAATTTGAAATGATTGGAGCTTTATGACATGGTGCACTCTCCTGCTGGAATTAGCCATCAGAGGATGGGTACATGGTGGTCATGAAGGGATGGACATGGTCAGAAACAATGCACAGGTAGCCCGTGGCATTTAAACTATACCCAGTTGGCACCAAGGGGCCTAAAGTGTGCCAAGAAAACATCCCCCACACCATTACACCACCACCACCAGCCTGCACATTGGTAACAAGGCATGATGGAGCCATGTTCTCATTCTGTTTACGCCAAGTTCTGACTCTACCATTTGAATGTCTCAACAGAAATCGAGACTCATCAGACCAGGCAACATTTTTCCAGTCTTCAACTGTCCAATTTTGGTGAGCTGGTGCAAATTGTAGCCTCTTTTTCCTATTTCTAGTGGAGATGAGTGGTACCCGGTGGGGTCTTCTGCTGTTGTAGCCCATCCGTCTCAAGTTTGTGAGTGTTGTGGCTTCACAAATGCTTTTCTGCATTCCTCGGTTGTAACAAGTGGTTCTTTCAGTCAATGTTGCACTTCTATCAGCTTGCATCAGTCGGCCCATTCTCCTCTGACCTCTAGCACCAACAAGGCATTTTGGCCCACAGGACTGCAGCACACTGGATGTTTTTCCCTTTTCACACCATTCTTTGTAACCCCTAGAAATGGTTGTGGGTGAAAATCCCAGCAACTGAGCAGATTGTGAAATACTCAGACCGGCCCGTCTGGCACCGACAACCATGCCACGCTCAAAATGGCTTAAATCACCTTTCTTTCCCATTCTGACAGTCAGTTTGGAGTTCAGGAGATTGTGTTGACCAGGACCACACCCCTAAATGCATTGATGCAACCGCCATGTGATTGGTTGATTAGATAATTGCATTAAGGTTAAGTTGAACAGGTGTTCCCAATAATCCTTTAGGTGAGTGTAGACTTTTCACATAAACAAATGTTTGTTCAGTGATTTCTTTAATTTCTTTCATTACATCTCTGCAGTTTTAACAGGACATTTTTAAATGAATCTTCTCAAAAATATTTTTGCACATTTCTAATAAAGTTGAGCAAATGATTCTAAAATGAGTCACCTTTAAAACAATATAATAGAAAACAAAAAGGTTTCTAAAAACAATAAAACAGAATAGCATTGTAAAGAAATCCAAGTGTTTTATGTTTTATGAGTAAATGATGTCTTCTAATTGTTTGTCTCTTTGTTGTGGGACACATTTGAAGACCTTACTTTTCTACTTTTACGAAAACTTGTTACCAGACGAGTGAAACAAAATCACACAAAAATTCCAGCTAAAGTTTGATCACAATAATTTCTGAGATTTTTTACGATTGTTCCTTCAGTTACTTTTTTTCTAGTTTTCCAGACAAATAAATCAGAGAAAACAAACAAACAAACAAACAAACAAAAACACTACATGTAAAGATTTCAGAATGACGGTTTCGTTCTGCCTAAATCTGTTTCCTAAAAAAAAAGTGTAAGTGTAACTAGAAGCTCTTGTGTTCAAACATTTATTTATGTCCTCCATGAAATAATAACACAACATTTTATTTAAATCACCTATTAAGCAGAGAAAGAAGATCATTATTGTGATGCAAACAACGTTTCACAATTGCTCTTGAGATCCTGATTTCAGCCGTGATGATGAGGATGGGAGTTGTCGTTCAGCTGCTCATGTAACCACCAGCGTCAGACAGAACGTCTGCACAGCGCTCCTGGTGAAAAAAATCATCATGTTTCCCTCAGGCCTCTGGGCCACGTGTCCGATATCAGGCGAGTCCTAGTCAGACGAGTTTGGACAGGCGCATTTCTGCTGTTCCCAGTTCAGTTTCAGTTTATTAATACTGAGTCACATAATAGCTCCATGTTGAAGCATGTGTGCAATGCTAAATGGGTTACAAACAGATGAAAAAAATCTATCAGGGCCTAAAAGCAGCAGAAAGCAAAGATGATCCATTCATAAAATAAAAAGTGGTGAAAGTGTTCATGAAATTCAGTAAGATTCATCCTCCAGGAGTAGAATGATGAGTTACTAATAAAATAAAAAATTCACTCAACATAAGAAAGATACTCAGTCAACCTTCTGTAAATACCGTAAATCCTCTAATATTAGCCTGTATTTAATTAACTGCCGGGTATCATATTTTGGCCGGTGTCGGAGTCGGCGGAGGTGAATAATGGCCGTTTTTTTATTGTGGCCAGGTGGAATGTGGTAACAAGCAAGTACGGGGGGCGGTTGTGTCATCCGTCTCACTTTTGATTTGCCAGTGATAGACCGCGAGGGTAAGTTTAACCGTGCGGAGACGAAGAGGAGGCGAAAATTTGATATCAAGTTCAAAGAGAACGTGCTGATTATGCTGCAGAACACCCTGGGGAGCAGTAGGGGTTGTATGAACTAGTCACTAGTCGACTTCACCGCTCTATAGTGACGTTTTATGCCTGTCATCGACTAGTCGCTGTCACGTGATAATGACCGGCAAGATGCAGTCCACGGAAAAGACAGCAGCCTGCCCTCTGACACACCGATCACTGATGCGGCCGCCAAGCAGCGAGCACGCCGCTGTTTTTGCGGTCGGTAGATCTTTTAAAACTGCAGTTCAAAGGTAACTCATAAGGTAAATATATATATGAACCCAGGTAGCAGTTTCTCTTTAGGATTGAGAGGAGATGCAGGAAGATAAACAGGCAGGACAGAAAAATAGTCAAATAAAAACAAGTTAGTTTTTGTACCTGGTGGTTGCAGCAAACAGACACCATTGAAGGTAACCAGAAGTGAGGAACAGAAAATGAAATAATTATTTTAATGTTTAGAGCAGCAGGAACTCTGAGAGGCTGCAGGTGCATCAGTGAGTTTGCGGCCGCTGCGCAGGGGGAGGGGGGAGAGGGCTGAAGCAGAAACTACCGTTGTTTAAAGAAATGTGTTTAACTTTGAAAATGTGGACGCAATTTTAATTGTCAAAAACTCCAGCGAACCATTAGTTCATTTTGCTCAAATAGAAATAGAGGCCTGCCTCTAATTATGGCCCTCCTTCCAATAAAGGCCTGGAGCTTGATGAGCTTGAGTCAAATACAGGCCCTGGCCTGTATTAGAGGATTTACGGTACTTTAAAATTAACTGTAGCTGCACCTTGCACCATGCTTTTCCTCAGACTCAAATAGATGTTGAAGGACTTTGAACTTTGAACAAAATAAATATAAAACAGAGTGCACTTCTATCAGTTTTGGGCAATTAAGGTATTTTTGCAAAAAATTTTACGAGTTACTGCCAGTCTTAATTTCTGGATGAACCATTTGTTGATGTGTATGCTTAAAACAAACAAACATTCTATTAACTCTTGCAAAATTAGACTGGTTAAGTAGAGAAAAAAACAGACTGGTGTAGGCTGAGCTCTGAAGGACAAAATAGCATTTAAAGCATGTGTGGCGTTTCCAGTCTTCTATCACAAGCCACATGTTTTCTGAAGTTTACAGTTCTTAATAGTTATGCGGTCTGAATAGCTTTACTGCTTTTTTCTCCTCCAA